GGGTGGGGGCGCGGCGCCCTGGGCCCCGTGTGGGGCAGGGCAAGTGGGGCGTCGGGTTCCGGAAGTACAGGGTTCCGGGGGCGGCCTGGGGTCCCGGTGGGCGCCGCGTCCCCGGCTCCGGGGTTCGGGCGGGGTGCGGCCTTCCTCTTCTGACCGGCTCGCACGTTTCCCGCGGTGCCCCGGGACCTGCTTTCCCCGCTGCTAATTGGCGCGTGGGTGGCGCGACCGCCCCGGGGGAGCTTGGCACGAGGGGAACTGACTCAGATGCACCTGTCACACTGGGACACGGGCGGGGCTGCATCGCCTGCAACGGTGCAGCGAGTGCGATGCACGTGCCGGTCACCCGTGCACTCCGGAGCTGAGGCCGGAGGAGCGCTGAAGTTTCAGTCAGTAGAGTCGTTGACTGGCATGCTCGATACACAGCTTCATCCTCAGCGTCCTTCTCTGGTTCATCTCAGCACTTCTGAAATGAAGGCAGGATAAGGGGTTTATCCTCAGCTAAAAGCATCATAAGGAATTTGCGTCCATCCTGTACTACATGAGGTTCTGTCTCAACAAAATTCCGGTCCGGCGGTGGTGGCGCACGCCTTTAATTACTTGGGAGACCGAGGCAGAAGATCTCTGTGAATTCGAGCCTGGTCTACACAGCGAGTTCCAAGACAGCCAGGGCTACATAGATTATCCCTGTCTCGAAAAACAAAATAAAGACCCCCTGCAAAACCAAAATCCCTAGAAGAACATAGAATGCCCACCTGAATATGTGATCTGGAGTGTCCCTAAGTGTGACAGCTCACCACAGGCCAGCCTGGCAAGGGATAACGGCCAAGGCATTGGTCCTCAACCTGTGCATCTCAACCCCTTTGAGGGTTGAATGACCTTTCGTAGGGGTCGCATATCAGATATTTACAGTTCATAGCAGCAGTAAAATTATAACTGAAGTAACGAGATAATTTTATGGTTGGGGTTCACCACAGCAGGTATTGGACGGTCTCAGCATTAGGAAGGTTGAGAGCCACGGGCTTTGAGTAAGCCTGTTGTTGTGGAGTCTGAAGGGAGGGGTTACAGTGATGGACCCTGCACATTGGGGAAGGTGGGAGAGTGTAGGCGGGAACAGGCCTGGTGTGTGCAGACTTGTTATCGCAGCCCTTGGAGATTTGTGATTAGGCCGAAGAATTGTGAGTTCCAAGCCAGCTTGTGCTCATGGGAGACTGCTGCCCCGAATGCAGTGACTGAGTAGGCCAGGTGCTGGGAACCTGGGACTCCCATCAAAGCTGGGCTCGGCTGTAGGGGAATATAAGGTGTTGTGTTGTTTCTGCTGCATTTGTTTAACTCCATGAGGCTGTGATTCTTTGCCTGTCTAAAACACCTGATGGTCTAATAAAGAGCTGCATGACCAATAACGAGACGGAAGTAAGAATAGGCGGGGCTCTCAGGTAGAGAGTATAAATAGAAGGAGACCCGAGGAAGAGAAGGAGCAAGCCAAGGGGGAGGATAAGACACAGAAGTAAGAAAAGGAGAAAGCCCAGAGGCAGAGGGTGGACGGGATAATTTAACAAAAGCAGGCTATAAACAAGCCAAGCTATGGCTCTGTGTAAAAAAAAAAAAAAAAAAATGCCTCTGTGTGTTTTATTTGGGAGCTGGGTGGCAGAACCCACCAAAAGCCAAAAGACTAAAACATCACACTACACTTGGCAGTAGGCGCCTGTAATCGCAGCTGTGGAGAGGCGCAGGGCAGTGCTGGCAATCAGCCTGAAGACTCCGTGAGGGACTCTCCTGAACATACGATGCAGGGAGGATGGCGTCCAGTGCTGACCTCTGACCTCCACATGCACGTGTGCACATGCATGCACACACATGGGTATGCCTATGCTCATAGATGTTCACACAGAACCCCCAGCCTTCAGGATCCTAGCAGGAAAGCAGGTATCAAGGGCTAGGTGGCCCCTAGACCTCAGGTCAGTGAAAGGCTGAGGCCTGCCTGAGTCCCTCAACTCTGCTCACCCATGATCCAAGCTGTGAGAGCCAGGGCAGGTTGACAGGTGCTGGAGCTGACCGCTCTCTGTTGCTGCAGGTGTTCGCTCATGGGAGGATGTGGACCCCACCGTCTGCAGTCTGGACGAGCAGCTCAAGGCCTTTGTGTCCCGGCACTCGGCCACCTTCTCCAGCATTGTGAAAGGTGACCCGTCCTACTCTGCCCCCTCATGTGATGTCATGCTGCTGAGTAACTGCTGTGTGCTGGGCCTGGGTTGGAGCACCACCAAGGCCTGCACAGTGCTACCCTAACCTGGAGACGCTGCCTCGGCTTCAGGACAGCAGGGTGCAGTGGCTCTAGGGAGGGAAGCAGGGGAATACAGAAGCAGGATGGGGTGCAGGGTAAACTTCCCAGGGGATCCCAGGGTGGCCAGAGCAGCCACTGGCCACTCTGTGTGTGTTGGTTTTAGCTAGCTCAGCTCCTGGCTGGTGGGTTGAGTCACCACCTACAGCTTCCTGAGAGAACGGAAATGTCCATCGAATTGTCCCTTTGAGTCACAGTGACTTCCTGATCCCTGGTGGGGTGGGGAAAGAGCTGGAAATGCCATATGTGTGACCTCCTGTGTCCTCGGGAAGACCCTCTGGGCAGTGACACATTCTGCAGCCGAGTCGGCTAGAGGTCTCCAGGCAGCCTCGCGTGGGTTGGACTGAAGCTCCTCTGCCTGCGTTGGGGGTGCTGTGGAGCCTCCTACTAGGGTGACCAGCCAAGCACCGATGCTGCTGCTCGTCCCTGTTGTCCCTGCCTGATGCCCCAGGCACCCTCGGTTTCCATCTGCCCTCATCTGCGCACAGCTGTATTGGTGCTTCAGGGTTTGGCGTCAGGCCAGCCTAATGCTGAGTCAGAGCCTGGACCTGTCATCCCACAGGCCAGCGGAGCCTGCACCACCGTGGGGAGACCCTGGAGACTCTGGTGCTGCTGAACCCTTCAGACAAGTCCCTGTGTGATGAGGTAGGAGCATGTGACCTGAGGACCCCGAGGCTTGGGACAGGAGAGCTAGAGTCTTGCTGGAGGGGATTACTGTGTCTAGCTTGAGGCATTGGGGAGCACGCTGGGGAGGAACCTTGCCTTAAAAAAAGGCTTCCTAAAGCAGTCTCTTGCCAGAGGAGCCTGAGCCCTGCCAGGCAGGCCACATCAGCTGCTGCGGGGAAGAGGCTGTTGTGCCCACGTTGGGCCGGGCCCTGCTTCCCTGCAGCCTCTTAGTTGCCTCGGCAGCTGGCACAGTCAGACTCACATGTGAGCTGGGGCCCAGCCTGGGAGCGCTGCTCACGAGGCCTTCATCCTCACCCATAGCTCCGGAACCTCCTGATGGATCCGGCCCCTCACAAACTGCTGGTGCTGGCAGGGCCCTGCCTGGAGGAGACCGGGGAGCTGCTGCTACAGACCGGGGGATTCTCAGCCCAGCACTTCCTACAGGTGCTGGGGGACAAAGAGGTGAGCCGTTCTTCCCTTCTCCCCTCCACAGAGCTACCCACCCACCGCACAATGCAATGAGGGGGGGAATGCACAGAATGGGGCTGTAGGCCAGGAGGGCAAGCCCTGGTGAACCTGCGGTGCCTAGTGGCAGGTTGGGAATTAGGGGAGTGGTGCACAAGTCCTTGGGTCCTGATGGCCCTGTGCTGGTTCCACAGGTTCAGGAGGCGCTAGCTTCAGCACCCACTGCTACACCGGCCCTTACCGTGTCCTGTCCAACCTTTGGGGACTGGGCGCTGCTGGGTCCCGCAACTGGACTGCGGCTGCGACTGAACCCTCCTGCGCGGCTGCCTGCCTCCGAGGGCCTGCGAGCCTTTCTGGAGTATGTGGCTGAGTCCCTAGAGCCGCCGTCACCTTTTGAGCTGCTGGAGCCCCCGGCTGCGGGCGGCTTCCTGCGTCTGGCCCGGCCCTGCTGCTACGTGTTCCCAGGCGGCCTAGGTGACGCAGCGTTTTTTGCAGTCAACGGCTTCACTGTGCTGGTGAATGGTGGCTCCAACCCTAAGTCGAGCTTCTGGAAGCTGGTGCGCCATCTGGACCGCGTGGACGCTGTGCTAGTGACCCATGCAGGTGCCGACAGCCTGCCTGGCCTCAACAGCCTGCTGCGCCGCAAGTTGGCGGAGCGTGAGGCAGCTGCAGGGTCACAGGGACAGCATGAGGAGAGACTGCGTCGCCTGCTGTCACCTGCCCTGGGTGTAGTGTTCCTGAATGCGCGCCAGGCGGCGTCTCGGTTGCGTGGGGGTGAGGATGAGGCGGTGTGTGCTCGGGGCCTGCTGCAGAGCCTGGGTATTGCACCCCTACCCCTGCAGCGTGGCCCGCAGCCCACGCGCCCCACCATCCTCTTCGAGAAGCTGGGCGTCGGTCGCCTCGAGCTCTTTGTGCTGCACCCGCCACCTGGGGACCCTGCTGCACCCGCCTGCGCTCTGCTGGTGTGGCAGCCTGCTGCGCCCAGTGACAAGGTGGTGCGTGTGCTATTCCCAGGCCACACACCGCCTGCACGCCTACTGGACGGGCTGCAGCGCCTGCAGCATCTGCCATGCCTGCGCCGGCCAGTGGTCACTGCACGTGACTTGGATACACCGGCAAGGGCTGACAGCCAGGACAGCTTGGCCTCACGGGATAGCTCGCGCAAAGAGCCGGTCCGGAGCACCATCGCCAGCTCCACCAGCAGGAACACAGTGCGAAGGGAGTCTGCTCCACCCATGCGTGACCTGAAGAAGGACACAAAACCGGTGCCCTTACGGCCTACAGTCCGCGACGTGCGTCGCTCTGGGCCTGGTGTCACCAACGTAAAGCCGCGCATGTCACAGAATGGGCCTCGTGCCCCAGTGGGGCCACCTACCGCTAATGTACCCGAGTGTCCTGGAGCAGCTGGGAGCAGTGTGGAGCCTGAGCAGCCACCGGCCCCATCCCCGACCCTGTCCTCAGCTCGGTCCCCACAACCTACCGCATCTGGCAGTAGCCCTGAGCACCTGTCACTCAGCCCGCTGCGCCCCGAGCCCACCCTAGACGCATCGCCCTCAGCCACTACACCCACGGCCACAACACCCACGCTGACCACGCCCTCCTTGCCTGCGGAGTTGGGCTCACCGCACTCCACTGAGGTAGATGAGTCACTGTCTGTGTCCTTCGAGCAGGTGCTACCAGCAGGTGACTCGGGGCTCAGCCTTCCCCTGCGCCTTGCGCGCCGCTCCACATCTCCACACGACGTGGACCTGTGCCTCGTTTCACCCTGTGAGTTTGCACACCGCAAACCGCCCCCTCCCGCATCTCCAGGCAGCTCAGACAGCAGCGCCCATTCACAGGAGCGGCCACCCGAGACGCCGCCCACGTCGGTGAGTGAGTCACTGCCCACATTGTCTGATTCTGACCCCGTGCCTGTTGCGGACTCCGACGATGACGCAGGTGGTGAGAGTGCAGCCAGGGACCCGCTGCCCACTCCCCGTGTGCCACCACCACTGCCCGATGCACCCGGAATCTGTATGGTGGATCCCGAGGCGCTGCCCTCCCGCTCCAGGCAGCCCCCCAACCCTGCCAATACCAGTCGCAGCCGCAAGGCCCCTGCAAGGCCCAGCTCTGCCTCTACTGTCCCCAGAACTGCATCCTTAGCTGCCAAGACAAAAGGCCCTACCGGGGACCGGGCCCGGCCACTGAGCGCCCGCAGTGAGCCCGCAGACAAGCCAGGCCGTGTGCCCCTCACCAGGAAGCCCTCGGTCCCCAAGACTACCCCCAAAGCCTCTGGCACGAGGATCTCAGGTGAGTACTCATCCCACCTTTGTGCTGTGGCCCCAGCCACTCTGCTCTTTCTGGGTTTCCTGTTCCGGGACTGTCATCCTCCTGCCTCCTCTTAGATCACCCAGAGAGGCTTTTCTGGGTGTGTTGCTCCCTAGAAAGTTCAGCCCAGCCCTGGGCGGGCACAGACTTTCCTGCTTGTCAGTATTTTGTTTAGTTTGTGTTTTGAGATGTCCTCATGCTGGAACCTGCCTACAAAGGCTGAGAGGCCCAGGGTGTCGGGCATGCTTAGCTTTTTTTGGTGTTTTGAGAAGTTTTGGTCGGGTGTGGTGGCCCAGCCTTTAATCCCAGCACTCTGGGAGGCAGAGACAGGCAGATCCTTGTGAGTTTGAGGCCAGCTTGGGCTGTGTAGTGCGAAAGACCCTATCTCAGAGACAAACTATGAGTGTTTTGAGCTATAGCCCAGGCTGCCCTAGAACTGGAAACCATCCCCCTGCCTGGGTCTCATGAGTGCTGATTGGACAGGTGAGCTCCTGGGCTGGGCCTTGCGTGTAGGGCAACAGCTTCTGGGCCACGAGGCCTGCCCTGAAAGTAGGAAGTGGCCTCCCGCTCACCTCCAGGCCAGGTGGCTACTCTGGCACAGGTTACAGATGGGTCCTGAGGCCTCACTGCAGGAGTCGCTGCACTGACAGGTGTCCGCAGCTCTGTCTATCCAGGCTGGCACCTAGTGACATGCCTCTCATCAAGCCCACCTTATGACCCGCTGGAGACAGGACCAGACCCCAGGAACGTGCACAGCTAACCGCGGCAGAGCCAGGCGGGTGGTGTTTATAGGTTCTCAGACCTCAGGCCTCCCCCGTGAGGCCGGGCTCCGAAGGGCCCAGCAGTCCCTCTGCATACCTCACTTCCATGCTGGGTCCCCAGGGTCCCCGCAGGTCAGTTCCCTAAGTCACAGCTCTCATTGGCTGTGCCAGTGCCAAGCAGGGCTTGATTTTGTCCTAGACTTGCCATTGCCTCGTTCCCCACGGCACTGAAGCTGTGGGGTGTTCCTTGTTCCTGGGCCCTCAGGCCTGTTCCTCCTGTTGCCCTGGGAGTGGGAGCAGGACTTTCAAGCACTTGCCAGGTGACCAGTTTTGTGAACACTCTCAGTTCTCACACCCAGGGTCTCAGGCCGTGGGCTGAGCTTGTTCCCTGAGCACCCATCTCTGTATGGCCAACACTGGCCCCTGTGAATGCAGGGTGCAGGGGTCTGGGGTATCTGTCCCCTGGTGGGAGGTGATAGCCATCCACCACAGGGTTGCCCTTCAGCCACATGATGCCACCACTAGCCTGTATATTCCCCACAGGGCCCAGTAGCCGCCCTGTGCCACCCATTGCTGGCTCCCCTGTCTATCTGGATCTGGCCTACCTGCCCGGGGGTGGCGCGGGTCACCTGGACCAGGACTTCTTCATGCGAGTGCGTGCACTCTGCTATGTCATCAGTGGGCAGGGCCAGCGCCAGGAGGAGGGGCTGCGTGCTGTGTTGGATGCTCTGCTGGCTGGCAAGCAGCAGTGGGACCTTGACCTGCAGGTGGGTAGACCCCAGAACTCTGAGGTCTTTCTTCTGAGAGGTGGTCCCTGCTCAGCCTCGGGACCCCAGTGCAGAGGGGTGGGTGCTTCCCAAGTCTGTGGGGCCAGGACACCAAGGCGAGGGACTCTGGTTGAGAGGCACACCACATGCTGAGCAGATGGCAGGCACGTGTGTGCAGTGTCAGGTTTGGGCAGAGCTGCACCAGCGTAGAGGATCCCATAGCCTGGGGGGAGGTGGCATCGTCAGCACTGCCCTGTCTCGGGGTGGGGAGTGGCAGGCCGGCGGGGGCCATGTGGCAACACCTGGTTACAAAGAAGGTCCTTGGGTAGTGCTGGGGAGACAGGCCAGCAGAGTGGGTGTGACCTGTGTGCCTGCTCCACCCCACAGGTCACCCTGATCCCTACCTTCGACTCCGCGGTGATGCACAGGTGGTATGAGGAGACGCATGAGCAGCACCAGGCGCTGGGCATCAGGGTGCTGGGCAGTGGCAGCATGGTGTCCATGCAGGATGAGGCCTTCCCGGCCTGCAAGGTGGAGTTCTAGCCCCGTGCCGCAGTGCACCCTGGGATCTGAGTCGCGGCTCTATACACCACATTGAACCCCGACACCGCATTCGAGTGTGCCACTGTGACACGCCAGCTTCCATCCTAGCACCACAGACGGGGGCAGTGCTGCTGTTACCAGCTGTTGAGCTGGCCACGGGGCAGGCACAGCTACCCACGCTCTTCTTCCTAGCACTCAGGTTGCAGAGGCAGGAGGATCATGTGGGTTCCAGGCCATCCTGGCCTCCCAAAAGATAGAGCAGATGGGTAAGATTTTGGTTTTGATGTCTTAGTTAGGGTTTCTTGTGCTTTGTAAACACCTTGTCCTTAAACATCTTGAGAGGTTTGCTGGAGTCAGGAAGGAGCCTGGAGGCCGTGGAGGGTGCTGCTTACCGGCTTCTCCCATGCTTGGCAGCTCTTCTCGTAGGCACCCAGGCCAGTCTGGTGGGGGCAGATTTTAGTTTATGTTCCCTCTTCTCAATTGCTCTAGCCACCGCACTTGGAGAGAATCTAACAAGGAAAACAGACTAGGGTGTGCTCGGTAGTCCCATGTCAGCTCAACACAAGCTGGAGTCACCTGAGAGGAGGGAGCCTCAACTGAGAAAATGCCTGGGCAAGATCGGGCTGTAGGCTGCCTGGGGGCATTTTCCTGATATGATTGATGGAGAGGGCCCAGTCCATTATGGATGGAGCCACCCCTGGGCAGGTGGTCCTGGGTTCTATAAGAAAGCAGACAGAGCAAGCCGCCAGTAAGCAGCACCCTCCATGGCCTCTGCATCAGCTCCTGCCTCTAGGTTTCTATCCTCTCTGAGTTCCTGTCCTGACTTTCTTTGGTGATGAACAGTACTGAGGAATTGTGAGCCAAATAAACTCTTTTCCCCCAAGTAGCTTATGGTCATGGTCTTTCTTTCTTCCTTCCTTCCTTCCTTCCTTCCTTCCTTCCTTCCTTCCTTTCTTTCTTTCTTTCTTTCTTCCTTCCTTTCTTCCTTTCTCTCTTTCTTCCTTTCTTTCAATTGATATTTATTGAGCTCTACATTTTTCTCTGCTCCCCTCCCTGCCTCTCCCCTCCACTTCAAAGTCCCCATGCTCCCAATTTACCCAGGAAATCTTGTCTTTTCTACTTTCTACTTCCCATGTAGATTAGATCTATGTATGTCTCTCTTATGTCCTCATTGTTGTCTAGGTTCTCTGGGATTGTAGTTTGTTAAGATGGCTTTCTTTGCTTTATGTTTAAAAACAACCTATGAGTGAGTACATGTGATAATTGTCTTTCTGTGTCTGGGTTACCTCACTCAATGTTTTCTAGCTCCATCCATTTTTCTACAAAATTCAAGATATTATTTTTTCTGCTGTGTAGTACTCCATTGTGTAAATGTACAACATTTTCCTAATCCATTCTTTGGTCGAGGGGCATTTAGGTTGTTTCCAGGTTCTGGCTATGACAAACAAGCTGCTATGAACATAGTTGAGCACATGTCCTTGTGGCACGATTGAGCATCCTTTAGATATATACCCAAAAGTGGTATTACTGGGTCTTGAGGAAGGTTGTTTCCTAATTTTCTGAGAAATAGCCACACTGACATCCAAAGGGGTTGTACCAGCTTGCATTCCCACCAACAATGCTGAAGTGCTCCCTTTTCCCCACAACCTCTCCAGCATAAGTTGTCATCAGTGTTTTTGATCTTGGCCATTCACAGTTGTTTTGATTTGCATTTCTCTGATGACTGAGGATATTGAACATTTCCTTAAGTGTCTTTCAGCCATTTTAGATTCCTCTGTTGAGAGTTCTCTGTTTAGGTCTGTACTCCATTTTTTTTTTTATTGGATTATGTGTTCGTTTGGTGTCCAATTTCTTGAGTTCTTTGTATAATTTGGAGATCAGACCTGTGTCTGATGTGGGATTAGTGAAGATCTTCTCCCATTCTGTAGGCTGTTGTTTTGTCTTGTTGACCGTGTCCTTTGCTTTACAGAAGCTGTTCAGTTTCAAGAGATCCCATTTATTAATTGTTTCTCTCAGTGTCTGTGTTGCTGGGGTTATATTTAGGAAGTGATTCCCTGTGTACTTCCCACTTTCTCTTCTATGAGGTTCAGTGTAGCCGGCTTTGTATTGAGGTCTTTGATATATATGACTTGAGTTTTGTGCATGGTGATAGATAAGGGTCTATGTTCATTCTTCTACATATTGATATCCAGTTATGCCTGCACCATTTGTTAAATATGCTTTCTTTTTTCCATTTGATATTTTTTTGCTTCTTTGTCAAAGATCAGGTGTTCGAAGATGTGTAGATTGATATCTGGGTCTTCTATTTGGTTCCATTGGTCCTCCTGTCTGTTTTTATACCAGTACCAGGTTGTTTTCAGTACTGCAGCTCTGTAGTAGAGTTTGAAGTCAGGGATTGTGATGCCTCCAGAAGTTCCTTTATTGTACAAGATTGTTTTGGCAATCCTGGGTTTTTTGCTTTTCCATATGAAGTTGAGTACCGTTCTTTTGAGGTCTGTGAAGAATTTGTCTGGGATTTTGATGGGCATTGCATTGAATTTGTAGATTGCTTTTGGTAAGATTGCCATTTTTTTCTGTTAATTCTACCTACCCAAGAGCATGGGATTTTTCCACTTTCTGGTGTCTTCAATTTCTTTGTTCAAAGATTTGAAGTTCTTGTCATACAAGTCTTCCAGTTGTTTGGTTAGAGTTACTTTGAGATATTTTATGCTATTTGTGACTATTGTGAAGGGTGTTGTTTCTCTGATTTCTTTCCCAGCCCTTTTATCATCTGTCTACAGGAGGGCTACTGATTTTTTTTTTTTTGAGTTAATCTTGTATCCTGGTACATTGCTGAAAGTGTTTATGAGTTGTAGAAGCTCCTTGGTAGAATTTTTGGGATCACTTATGTAAACTATCACATCATCAGCAAATAGTGAGAGTTTGACTTCTTCTTTTTTGATTTGTATCCCCTTGATCTCCTTTTGTTGTCTTACTGCTCTAGCTAGGCCCTCAAGAACTATATTGAAGGGCTGAAGAGATGGCTCAGAGCTTAAGAACACTGACTGCTCTTCCAGAGGTCCTGAGTTCAATTCACAGCAACCACATGGTGGCTCATGACCATCTGTAATGAGATCTGGTGCCCTCTTCTGGCCTGCAGGCATACATGCAGACAGAACACTGTATACATAATAGACAAATAAATAAATAAATAGAACAAAATGCATTTGTGTTGCATGGGTAAGCAGAGGAATGTTTCCTTTAAAAAAAAACTATATTAAATAGTTACGGAGAGAGTGAACAACCTTGTCTTGTTCCTGATTTCAGTGGAATCACTGGGAGTTTCTCTCCATTTAGTTTGATGTTGGCTGTTGGCTTGCTGTATATTGCCTTTATTATGTTTAGGTATGTTCCTTGTATCCCTGCTCTCTCCAAGACCTTTATCATGAAGGGATGTTGTATTTTGTTGAATGCTTTTTTGGCATCTAATGAGATGATCATGTGGTTTTTACTTTTCAGTTTGTTTATATGGTGGATTACGTTGACAGATTTTTGTATGTTGAACCATCCCTGCATCTGTGGGATGAAGCCGACTTGATCATGGTGGATGATGGTTCTGATGTGTTCTTGAATTCGATTTGCCAGTATTTTATTTAGTATTTTTGCATCAATGTTCATGAGTGAGACTGGTCTGTAATTCTCTTTCTTGTAATGTCTTTCTGTGGTTTGGGTATCAGGGTAATTATAGCCTCATAAAAAGAGTTTGGCAGTGTTCCCTCTGTTTCTATTGTGTGGAATAATTTGAGGAGTATCGGTATTAGTTCTTCTTTGAAAGTCTTGTAGAATTCTGAGCTGAACCATCTGGTCCTGGGCTTTTTTTGGTTAGGAGACTTTTGATGACTGTTTCTATATCTTCAGCAGTTATAGGTCTGTTTAATCTGCTTATCTGGTCTTGATTTAATTTTGGTAAGTGATGTTTATCCAGAAAGTTGTCCACTTCCTTTAAGTTTTCCAATTTTGTGGAGTACAGGTTTTTGAAACATGACCTGATGATTCTTTGTATTTCCTCTGTGTCTGTTTTTTGTCCCCCTTTTCATTTCTGATTTTGTTAATTTAGATATTCTCTCTCTGTCTTTTGGTTAGTTTAGATAATGGTTGTCTATTTTCTTGATTTTTCTCGAAGAATCAACTCTTTTTCTCATTGATTCTTTGTATTGTTTTTTTTTTTTGTTTCTATTTTGATTTCAGCTCTCAATTTGATTATTTCCTGCCCTCTAGTTCTCTTGGGTGAGTTTGCTTCTTTTTGTTCTAAAGTTTTCAAATGTTCTGTTAATTCACTAGTGTGGGATTTTTCCAGCTTCTTAATGTAGGCATTTAGTGCTATGAACTTGCCTCTTAACACTGCTTTCATTGTGTCCCATAAATTTGGGTATGTTGTGTGGTCATTTTCATTGAATTTTAGGAAGTCTTTAATTTCCCCCTTTATGTCTTCCTTGACCCATTGATGATTCAGGTGAGCATTGTTTAATTTCCATGTGTTTGTGGGTTTTCTGGAATAAGTATTGCTGTTGACTTCATGGTGATCTGATAAGATACATGAGGTTATTCCAATTTTTTTTTTATTTGTTGAGGTTTGTTTTGTTACCGAGTATGTGGTCAATTTTTGAGAAGGTTCCATGAGGTGCTGAGAAGAAGGTATATTCTTTTCTGTTTGGATGGAATTTTCTATAGATGTCTGTTAAGTCCATTTGAGTCATAACATCTGCTAGTTCTCTTATTTCTCTGTTCATTTTCTGTCTGATTGACCTGTCCAGTGGTGAGAGGGAAGTGTTGAAGTCTCCCACTATTAGTGTATGGGGTTTAATATATAATTTAAGCTTTAGAAGTGTTTCTTTTACATATAGGGTGCCCTTGTATTTGGGGCATAAATGTTTAGTATTGAGATTTCCTCTTGATGGATTTTTCCACCATGTGGTTGCTGGGAATTGAACTCAGGACCTCTGGAAGAGCAGTCAGTGCTCTTAAGCTCTGAGCCATCTCTCCAACCCTGAAGGGATTTGCTGATGTCTTTCAATTTTTCCTCCATTTCTTTGAGGGAATTTCTCATTTCCTCTTTCAGAGTTTCAAACATTCTCATGAAGTTATTTTTTAGGTCATTTTCTTCTGCTTCGTCTGTATTTGGTTGTTCAAGTCTTGCTGTGGTCTTTAGGGTCTTTAGGTTTTACTGGTGTCGTGTTGCTCTTTGTGGTGTTGCATGTGTTCTTACCTTGTCTACTGATCTTTTCCTCTAATAGGTGTGGTTGGGGCTCTCTGTGATTCTGTTGATCAATCTTCTAGGTGCCAGTGAATCCAAGGCTCAGATGGTTGTTCCTGGAGGGAGCTCAGCATTCCTGGGCTTTGTTCCACTGCTTTGGAGTTTGCTGTCTCAGGCCTGCTCTAGCCTAGGTTGTCAACTCTGATATATTTCTGTAAATCCTGGTCTGGATCCCTCCCTGCAGAGGTCCCTGGTTTGGAGGAGTTGATCCAGCAAAGGTCTCTGGCTCCAGTCTACTCCCTTGGAGGTCCCAGCCTCGGGTGAGTCCGGATCCGTAGAGGACCTGGCCTAGCCTTA